AAATTGTTCGACTCAAGTTATCGGTTGGTAAAGGAGCTTGGGTACCAATCTACTCAAGAACAGTCGCTTGTCGCCTGAATGACTCTGATTAACACAGTTACCGACCCGCGAAGAAACCGCTTATTAGCTTACGTAACTAAAATTGTATTTTTTAGTGATGAGTCCAATTTTAATTTGGTAGGAAGTGATGGCGTGTGTTACGTTCGAAGCTCACAAAACAAACGTCTTAAAAATTCGTATTGTCTATGATCTGGGAAAAGGTTCTAAAATCATGGTTCTAAAACCAGAGGAATAAAGTGGATGTAATGAAGTGACCCCCACAATTCCCAGACCTTAACCCAATAAGAAATTGTAAAAAAGAGAATTAATCGCAGTAATGTGGCAAATGCTGATCAGTTCTTCCGAAGAGTCCTAAAGACATGGAGAAATATACCCCATACCATAGTGGATAATCTCATAGCTTCGATTTCGCGGCGTTGCAAAGCAGTTATTGAGAGCAATGGGTTTGCCACAAAATACTAAGTTTTTCTTTTATTAAAAATAATGTACCTTTTTCCCTGAGTTGCAATTCTTTTGTCTTATTAAATATAGATTTTATATCGTTATTTTTATCTACATTAAACAAATGAACAGGAAAATTTTAATAAATTTGTTTTGTTTACCTTAATCTACATCCAATATTTAAAATAAAATTAAAATAGAAGGTCTCCGGCAATTACGGTCTGTGTAATCAACAGTACTTTCATTATCATATGTCAGTTGCAAATGGTTTCTCCGACACTGTATGTACTGCAAATTTTGGAATTTCGAAATATCGCAATCAAGAAAATAGATAAAACCAGAACTTAGAGAATGGCAAACAGAGAAAATAAGAATTGGCTAAGCTATTTAATGAGGTATTAAAATACTTTATTTCTGGTTAGGTCAATGGAAAGCGGCCTTCATTTGTTCTGGTTCACTCTGTGGGCGAATCTTAGCAAACAGGGTCTACCAATGGCAAAAAAAAAAACAAGAAAACACGTTAACTTCGGTTGCACCGAAGCTATAATACCCTTCACAAATACAAAGGCTCCTTACATGAACTTGATTCCGAACGTTCAATTTGTATGGCAGCTATATGATATAGTGATATTATCTGGCCAATTTCTAATTTGATGCCTTAAGCAAGAACTCGTGTCTAATTTCGTGAAGATTCCTCGTCAAATGAAAGAGTTTTCCATACAAGCACTTGAATCCGATTGTTCAGTTTGTATGGCAGCTATATGCTATAGTGGTCCGATATCGATATGAGGTACTAGTTTGTATATATACAGACAGACGGACAGACAGACAGACAGACGGACATGGCTAAATCAACTCAGCTCATCATGCTGATCATTTATATTGGCTGTTACGGTACCAGGACGTTAAACGTTATTCACATTTTCAGCCGACTGGCTTGCTTTTTCGCACTTATCGAGGAAAAACTGTAAAATATAGCTATTTTCCCTTTTCTAGTATCCATATTTTACGCGCGCTCAAACAAAACTAAATCAACAAATCACAAAACTGTCAGAAAAGCTTTTTTAGTACGAAATGTCATCTTTCTAACGCCATTTAGCCGAACCTGATCGGACTTATACAACTCGAGATACAGATAAGGTATATTAAGTTTGCCACGAAGTTATTAACACCCAGAAGAAAATGTCGGAGACCCCATAAAATATATATGTATAAATATGATTAGCATGGGAAGCTAAGTCGACTTAGTCTGTCCGTCCGTCTGTCTGTACATACCCGAACTAGTCTCTAAGTTTTTGAGATATCGATCGATTTTGCACACGTCCTTTTCTCTTCAATAAGCTGCTTATTTGTCAGAACCCCCGATATCGGACCACTATAACATTTAGCTGCCCTATAAACTGACCAATCAAAATCAAGTTCTTGTTTGGAATTTTTTGTATTTGTGAAGGGTAAAAACGAAATTAAGGTTTTTTCTTGTTCGTAATACATTTGGGTGCAGATTCTACGATTTACGTGTATTTTCAAATAAGAGTAATCAGCCTTAGCCATTTACATTACTCTCGTGTGGGTCAAATATTAAATACTCATATGTGCGTGTGTATATAGGCCTCACATTATATTGGCGTCCTCGGGTACACGCAATCATAAAGCTACATTTGTATATATGTGTGTTTGGGAATAAGTATTTGAAGCATACATATTGTACATACAACAATATGCATTCATTATTAGAGTCAGCCAACAGAACATATGCAGTTAGTCAGTAAAGCGTCCACTTTAAGCGGAGAAAAAAAAACGCGATAACGCAAAACGAAATATCAAAAGTGGCCTGTCATGCGCTTGGTGCTCCACTGAACGGCATAATGTACAGTGGTTGTACACTTGCAGATATGATGACTAACTTACATTAGGTATATAATAGGTATGTATATATACATATATATCTATGTAAGTAGGCTCATGTCAGCATAATGGGTGAAAAGTCGACGAACTTTACACACAAAAAACATTGAATTAAACTTTAATTAAACTTCGACATACTGCACATGCTCGCCATACAATGCGCTGAATTGTGAGTGCAGGCACACTCCTCATATTCATATTTGACCAACAAACTAGTGGAGGTGCGCAAAGACACAGTAGTAGACTCTTTACATGTAAAATTGTTGTTGAATAATTGTGTAATCGTTTAAAAGGTTGGCGATTTTCATATATGAGTGATCTAAGTTGAATAATTTTTAAACTAATTAAATTATTTAATTTCCATTTATGGTATATACATATGTATTTTAATATCGATGTCAGTTATCACTAAGTTAGGGACACCCAACACTACCCGGACCGACAAAAAAAAATAATACATTTTCAAGTATTTTAATACAAATCTTTATTATCGCCGTTAAAATCGGCTCCTGAGTGCCTTTAGCGATTTTTTTCTATTAATTTTTGGGGCGCCAAGCGATAGATTTTTGGACAATTTTGAAGTCATATACATAAACCCACGTCTCGTCACCAGTAATGATGCGTTTGATGAATGTAGGGTCTTCAGCTAGGTTGTCAATCATTTCTTTTGCGACCTCTACTGCACGTCGTTTTTAACTTTTTCGATCTTATCGTCATTAACAGAAGTGGATGGACGACTCAGGATATAAACTGATTATTTTGTGCCACTTAAATACTTAGACTCCCTAAAACAAGTTCTGAAACTATTTCAATGATTCCACAGCCGTTAACATTTAAAGCAAACTCGTTAAAATCAGCAGGGAAACTTTTAGCGTCGTAAACAAACAAAAGCTGCCAATTGCACACTAATTGACATATAGAGATAAAACTTCACAAGAACATATTAAGATTTTATCAATCTAGAACAAATTTTTTTTATCGATTCGATTTGCGTGCGAACTATAAATGGACAACTCTGGGTCAAACTTAATCAGATGGTATTTAAATAACGGCCTCACCCGATTAAGTCTCCAATGACGACATCTACAAAGTAACGGAAAATATATTGGTTCAAAATTAATGAAAATTAAGCACAAATTAATAAAACCAAATATGAGTTTGATCCACTTTTGTAGTGCTTGGTGTTCGACTCAAATAAAAGCATTCTAACGTTGACCTTTGTAACCAGAATGGATCTGGACTTTTATCTGGCCAAGGACTGTAAACGCGGCAGCAGTTTTCTGCCGCCAAAACAAAAGCAATAACAACAAAATCTTACACTAGTAATTTCAATATCGTTACCTCTAAAATTCAGAGCTTGTTGCAACGAGATCAGGCTAAGTTACAGTGTTGATTGGGCCAATGTAAAAAATTAATTACGCCAAATATCTTAATATACTTCCGTTATTACTATATCGTAATGTTCATAAGTTAGGTTTGGTTCTGGGGCTGAAACTCTAGATGGAGACCACAATTTTAACACTGTTACTTTGTGATGCTAAAAACTTCTAGCTAAGAATAAAAACACCGTTATGAATCGACTAAAACCTTTGCAGCAATCGCAAATCTGTTGAGGAGGCTAATATCGATCCAACAAAAGAAGATTTAGCATCAATCTAGCTAAAGCTGAACATTCAGCAAAAAATGTCGACAATCACCTCGCTTTTTTAGAGACAATTTTAATAATGCCCTATGTTTCGCATTTAACTCTTGACCAGAAGGAGCTCCCCGCGCAATTGCTCGTTGTTGACCACTTCGTCGTTAAGTGGTAGACCAGAAGTGAACAACGGAAGTTCCGACTCTGTAATTCGCCATAACTACAAATAATGAGTGTTTTCTGAGATGTTGATGAAGCAATGAGTATATTTGTATTTGGAGACAGAAAAATATTTGCTCACGTTCCCTAAAAAAATAAATAAATGGTTACAAATAGCAATGGTTAGAACGAGCTTCTCATAAGAGGAGAGGAGGATAAAGTGAACTACAGCGCAACATTCAAGCAGATAAACGCATAATTTTTGACAGTAATGCCGGCACATATTCAACCAGTAACCCGGCACGCTCATGCTAATCAGACACCACATGTAAATGTTGCACTTAACAGCATACATACATACATACATAACCATCGTATAATGGCGAAAAGGCAAGTGTAAGAAGCAATGAAAAAGAAAAAAACAAGTGAAAATGCTAATTCCGCTTTGTGCTTGGCGAGAGTTTAAGCCGAGCAAGGCTTGTATGGCGGACAAACTTTCAACTTACTTCATTGACAAATCACAATTGCTTTAAGGGAGCCACAGCGCTATACGAAAGTAATAGTTGTCTTTCAATAACGAAGCACAAACACTTGCAACTGCACACACTTCTGATTCAAGCATAATAATTACTAATTGTCATTTACATAAATGCACATTTCTCCACGCATTTGCACCCGGCACTCCATCGTCATTTGACCTAATTTTTATCATCAATTAACAGTTTATGAGTGGACACTATAAGCTTCATAGTTTCCTACATGCGAGCACATATGTATGTATGTATTTACACTTACTTACCCTTCTTATGATGTACTTGAGAGGAACTGTTGGGAAAATGTGCTTAATTGCCGATGCCAAATCGGTGAGTATAACGTCAGCGTTCTGTAATTAAAAATGCAAATTGAAAAGTCAATCTTAAATTGAGTATACTCTAGCTGAACTCGGCTATTAGCTGTATTTACCGCACTGAAGCTCCCCGCATCGAAGCTCGTTGCAAATGAATACGGGCGATCATTTGTGATGATTGAGAAGTGTGTTGACTTTTTGCTTTCTACTGCCTGTATGTCCAAGTAGTGAAAGTGACATTCGATCTGAAGTAAACGGTAAGTAAAGTTAATTGCTTGTAAATTTCTTCAAAAGACGTTTGTCATACTAATTGGGAAAATTGCTTAAACGTAAAATATTATATTTGACAGTTGCTTACCTTTGTGGGCACCTTTGCGATTAGCAAATAAATACGAACTGGCGTGAAAACCTGCAACAAGAGACAAAGAGATAGACGTTGTTAATTGCTTCGATATATTTGTAAAATGGTTTATGTATTGATACATAACTGATCAGTTAAACCTTGAAATCTTAAAATGATAAATTCCATATTAGATTCACATTTACTAAACGATAGGGATCCACAGTTCTAAGCCAAAAATCGAGTTCTAGGAAAATTTTTTGACTTTTCGTATATATTTTGGAATAAGGAATTTTGAATCGTCGTTATTTCCAGCGGTAATAAATTCAAAAATTCGCAGAAACATAAAAATTTTGTTTAGGGGATTTCTATATAATTTAAACATTTCAAAATTCTTTCTGAGAATTAAAACCAACAAGGTGACTGTGTAGGTGTTATTACACCTACCGTGATTGTAGACCTCAAATTTTGACTCATCGAATCTTTTTTTCAATTTAGTATACAAAACCCTCAAAATTTTTTAAAAAAAATGCTCTTTTGTAAAACATACATTGCAACATTAAGTCTTAAGCCTCACAAATAAAAAAATTACTAACAAGAACTTTGTACGGTCAGTTTGTAAGGCAGCTTATGCTACAGTGATCCGATTTGAACATGTCAAATTAAAACAATTTTCCACACAAGAACTTCAATTTGATCGTACAGTTTGTATGGCAGCTATGTATATGTTATAGTGGTCCGATATCGACGGTTGCGAAAATGAATAGTTTCTTGAGGCGAAAAGGGCGTGTGCAAATTTTCAGATTGATATCTCAATAACTGGGAGACTAGTTCGAGTACAGGCGGCGGACATGGAGCTCATCACCCTGATTATATGTATATATATTGTAAACTTTATGGGGTCTTCCACATTTCCTTCTGGATGTTACATACCATACTTCGTGACAAACTTTATATACCTTCTTCATCGTATAATGAGATTCTAGAATATTGTAACTCTGTAAGAAGTATTGCATTTACAAGCGTAAGTTTTTCGCACTTACATATAAAATCGTTTGAGGATTTAATTTATCTTATTTTTACTGTTTTCTGAAGTTTCATTTTTTATAGTTATGTGTAATAACTATTGAAGCAATCTGTAAGAAAATGGGCAATTACCACACTAATATTCGAACATGTTTTCGTGAATGAAGGAGTCGGTAACGCATTGTTAAATGCGTTGGTAGTCGTATGATTCGTTTCTTTTCATGCGCTATATGTACTCTAAAGCCCCCCTAAACTTTTCAATTTGCTATTAACTTGTTAATTTGTTATGTAAACCGGTCACTATGTTTCTGGATACCAAAATAAGAATTAAAATAACATAAGCAGCTTGAAGAAGTGATGAATAACCATTGAGTATATGGGGAGCTAAATTTTTTATAGAAAAGAAGCATGATGTTACTTTTACAACCAAGGGGTCCTCAGTTATACATTACAGTAGAACCGGTACCAAAGCCTTCGAAGTTAGGGCTAAAAATATAGCACAAACATACTAAAAGACTGATGTGTAATTATAATCTATTAAATGGGCAAATACTACAATAATTTTTTATAAACCCCTTGGAATTTTTCACTTAAAGTTTGCATTTGAGTCGAGTCACGCTTACTGAATCCATTTAATAGCACACAACAACAATTCATTTTTTTTTTGCAGAAATCCAATACCCATAGCCATTTTCTGCTTAATGGCGCAATTTTCTGCTACTACTATTGAAATTTTATTAAATGCTTGTACGTTCATCCGTACGCATGCGGGCTCTCAGACTTACCCTTTTTAATTTCATTGTTTTTAATCCTGGCGTTGAAGCGATGTGTGTGCGGCAACAAGAGATTAAAGTATTTAACGCTTGATTTGCTAATAACTTGCTAGTTTTTAATGTCCTGAAGAAAGGTATCAGTTACCATTAGTCGAGACATAAGTCTTACATAGGTATATATTTAAGTTTAGTTGGACGCAAGGTTTTCAAGGTTTGCAATGCAGTATATACGGATATGGGTGTATTCGAGAGTATGTTGTACTGTTCGCTTGTTATTAAATGTTAATCACTTTGTAAATATTTGCATAGAACAGAGTGTAGCACAATTACATTTCCATTTTCTGCATACCTCGCTTTACTTTCTAGCACTTCTTGTTTCATCGTAATGGGATTAATTCGAATTTAAACTGATTAAGTAACAATAAAATAAAGAAGAGAAAGAGAATATTGCACCATTTTACTTGTCGTTTTCTTTCTACTAAAAGCGTAATTAATTACTTTGCAGCATGTTGCATATATTATATCTTTATTCACCTTCCGATGGAGGGATATAGAGTATGTATTTAAATTTTTCAAAATAGGTTGGATCTGATTGAGTCTCTTGTACCATCGACCGTAAAAATATGATATTGTTTAACTAAATATGTTTCGTTTTAGATGTTACGATTGTTTTATTGCGAGAGTATAAAAGAGTAAAACTTGGAAACCCGATCGAGATATGAAAAACAAATTCCGTAAAAATAGTGCCGTCGATTTAGGATTACAACGTGCGTTATGCGATGGTAAAATATCTGAAGTATTATCAGAAACATAGTCTCTCCGAACTTTAATAATAAATCCCACAGATTGACCGATATTTTCAGTAAAAAGACAGCCATAAGCACAGGGGTCCACATATCCGGTGTCTGGAGGTTTGAACAATTGTACTCCGATTTTGATAATTTTGTAATCATGAGGCGGCATAACTTAAAATCACTTTTCGTGCAAAGTTTTGTAATATAATAATTGGTACTAGATTTGTGTACTGTAAAGTAAAAGAGTCATTTGAAATTTAAAATTATGTTGTATGGGAAATAAGCCCGGTTGTTGTCCGATTCCGCCTATTTTCACAAAATAACATACTAAAGTTGCAATAACGTTACGCACCGAATGTCGTGGAAATTGGTCTATTAGTTCCTGAGATTTACGGTTTCACCTAAAGGCCACGCCCATTTTTTAATTTTGATATTAGCTACTATGAAGCTTTGTAATAGTACCATCTTGGATGTAAAATTTAATGTCTCTGACATATTCAATTTGTTGTTTTTTAGCTATCACACTTTTAGTAGTTTCCAACATGGGGACTGGGTGGGGTTATTACCCGATTTCTATTTTCAGACTGTTGTTGGAAGTATCAAAAAAGTTTGTCCCGAGCAAATGTGGGTGATATAAGATGGTTTGGGAGATATATGTATATATCACAGACGCCTCTCCTTACTAAATCTTGTTGTATCAAATAAAAGTTTTTCATCATAATGTGGTGCTTAGCTATGGGAATATATACGTTTTTAATTAATGGCGGTTTGTGAGCGTGTCAGTGATCCGATTACGCACAATACCAATCAAGATATTTCAACTTTTAGTCAACTTACAGTTTGCACAGCCGGACGGACTGACAGTCAGCCGGATTCTAACGTCTCATCATAGGTGATACAAACAAAGAATAGGTGAACAAAATTATTATAGTCTGTAGCAACATGTTGCGAGAGTATAAAAGTCATATCTCACTCCCGCAGGGTCGTGCTCATATAGAGAGCACATACTTTTCATATAAAAGCCACTAAAAGACTTCTTCCGAAAAATGACATTTTTATTTTCTTCACTTCATTTGACTTGTCAAAGGATAACTTAAGTATTAAAAATCAATAACGAAAGGAATAATTCACTCTTCTACACCCTGAAATGAGCTGTCAGCTATTACTTTACGTTGTTGCATATAGAAAGCATTTCACATAGAAGATATGTTCGAAAAAGTACCCACTTCTACATTTCACCTTCTATAAGGATTCAAAATTTGTTTATTCATACTTAATTTTAATTAGAAGTGTTTTGTGTGCGCATTGCTTAAAGGGATTATAACTGTCAATGCGCAAGGAAGCTCAGTTTTTTCTGACATCCCACGAACAATGGTATTTATAAACAACAACAAACTTAGAATGTACGAGTACAAAGTCCGTGCGCTTGAAGAGTTTCCATACTTTTTGAATAAAGCTCGTAAATGCAAAGTCGTTTGTAGACTCATACTTTTTGTATTTTCATACTTGAAATGTACATATGTATGCATGTGCTGTAATCTATTCACTAAAATAGAAGAAAATTATTTATCTTATTTAGTCCACTTTCATACTTGACATCATTCAGCCCAAGTCGATGCTGTTAATGAATTTTGAAAGCTGTTATCTGCTTGAAAAAGAGTTCTTACAGCGCGTCAACGCCAACTACTTGTTAGACAGTAAGTTGCCTGTCAATGGCACTGCCCATTTTTGTCACTGCAAGCGACGCGAGGACAACACTCGTTGTAAGCAACGTTCTTAAAACTTTATGAATTTTGAATGAACATGAATGTTGACACTTTGTAGTGGAGCACCAACAGAACAGCAGTCAACAGTCGCTCACAGCGGCTTTGCACCTTAAATTATGCATGAGGCATAACGATAGCGCTGCAGCTGCTACTGCCTTGGTACTAAGTACTGCTCCAGGCAACGTGAAGACAAACAATGCTTCTGTGCTTTCAGGCAAAAATTGAATTTTATATTTTCGTTTTCGCTTCGCCTACACTTGTCGCTGATTAAATTTCACTTTTCCAACATTTACTCAAACAATTATATTTACTCGAAGTAAGAGCGATACCGTTATTTTCATTTAATTTTACTTTGTTTTATGTTATTAAGCGCACAAATTATGAACAATGCAGTGGCGAAAATATTTCCTTGTGCATTTGTATTACATAAATTATATCATTTCAAAGTGAAAAATGCCAAGAATTGCTGACTGTCAGTGGTTTGACAACTTCCGCATTTCATTGCCAGTCGCTAAAAATTTACAAGTCCAAAAATCACTGCAAATTCAAACGCTCTTTTCATGTTATGGAACAGAGTTGAGAAAAATAAATGAATTTCTTTTGCGCCCGCTGGCCGGCCAAAACAAGCGCATGTCTGCCAGTAAAGCAGGCAAATGTTTGGATATAAGCTTCTCCGCGTGTGTTTCTGCGCTCGAGACTTACTTTTTCAT